ATTTAATATCATATGATAACTTAGTACACCTCTATTTCTATTACTTTAAACTTCCTACCTAAATAATCATTAGTTATTTCATCTACCCTCTTAAATCCATGTGGAGGCATATATGTACCACCTAAATAACTGAAACTATTGCTATTATTATTGCAATCATTTGAAATAGCAATATCATAATTACCGCCACCACCAAACACTATTAAATAATCTTTGTGATGACAATATGCAGAGTATTCTTACTCAGGCTAAATACAAATGCATCATTATCTTTTATCCATTCACCATTAGCAGATGTCCAAAAGACTGCTGCATAGAATACATTCCAATTTAATTGTATGTTAACATCCAAAAACTTGACCATTCTCACTAAGTATAAATGAAATTGTTGGACCTTAGTTATCACATTTTTGATGAAAATTTGCTGCTAAAAATCCATCATTTGTTGCTTTAAATAAGAGTTTGCATTATTTGACGATTAATGGTAAAAGTTTAGGTTTATCTTTAGTTTCTTGTTATTTCAAAGATTCAAGATGATAGTCAACTAATCTCCTGAATTCTATGTACTTAGGTCTATATTAATCCTAAAGTTTTTGCAGAGTTTCTTAAATTTACTTCTCATCTTGTTATGTGGTTTGCTGTTACTTTTGTTAAATGATTTATTCCACTGGCTTGATAATTTGAAGAATTTTAAAATTTTAAAGAGACAAAATATTTTCCTTCTAAAGTGATTGATTATTTTACTATTTGATGCAATCGAAGAAACTTAAATCAACCTTTGATTTCTCTGGATTCTAGATTTTATTTATTTTAGCTATTACATCAAGTAACTCCGATGCCTAAAACATCTTATCATTGTTTTGATATTAATTGAGACGGCATTATTACAGGGGCAAGTTAATAAACAAGTGCTACAAAGCAATTGATTAGTTTTTTTGCAGTATGTTTTAATCAGTTTCTGAGGATGCTTGTCGCAAGTTATGTTGACATTGCTTATTTTATCAAGGTTATTAATCAAATCTTTTACTGGAGTAATCTTGGAATCCTCATCTAGCATGCAAGAATCATCTTAAAGACATCTCTTGAAAGTTCCTTCATTTGAGATCTAGAATTCAATGCATTAATTGCAAATAGTATGACCACATGATAAAATCATTGGTTTTCTCTTATTAAGGTTGTATAGGAGATTGCATCCTTTGCAAATATATATCATAATTTTTAAGGATATTTTGAGGTGGGGGTCCCTTTAGTTAATAATTATAATAAAATTTGCTAACTAATCAAATAAATTGGGATCCTATTTCGAAGGATTTGCATTATTATTTAAATACATCATATCAGCAGAATAACAATTTTTCATCATGGGGTTTTGGGGTTTTGGGG